GCTCGTCCTCACCCCCAGGCCTTTGCATAAGCAGGGTCCTCTGTTGGGCATGCCCTCCCTGTACTCCTTTCTCTAACTCTGCTCATCCTTCAGGTCTCATCCCCCAAGCTGACAGGGGCTCCTCTTCTGTGCTCCCCAAGCACCCACAAAGCACTGCATTGCAGCACTTACCCGTCGGCCTCCACCACTGGCCTGCCTTGCTCTCCGATGTGTCTCCAATACCAACCAGCGCAGGGCCTGGCTCCATAGAGATGTGCTGAATGGCTGGATTTCTGAGCTGGAAAGGCCCTTACACAGCCCAGTTCTCCTTTCCCTTCATTGCCCATCCATCTCGAAAACTCACATAGTAAGTGGAAGTAGATGCACATGAGTTGTTATAAAAATCATAAAATAACAGATCTTTCAACCAGATGTTTAATTTTAAAACAGCGAACATGGCAGACTTTCTAGAGACTGTCAATGGCTTGACAAAGCAATCCAGTCTCTTCCCTTGGGCTCTCGCGCTGCTTGGTAATGGGCGCTGTTGGTCATGTACCAGCAGTACAACGGGAAGTACACCATCTAATGAAAGAGAGTTGATTTTGAAAACAGATACATTTTGAAGTTTATTCCTGGTGCCAGGTGTCCCTTAGCTGTGCACTTTGGGGCTTAAGTGCCTGCCGTTTCCTTTTTTTATGGGAAAACTATAAAACGGGAGACTTGCCGTTGTGCCACGCTTCATGAAGGCAACTCCTCCTTCAGAGTCTGCAGACATGTTTGATTTCAATTTCAAACATAGCCTCAAAGAGACCTTTTCTTGCCCTGATACTTCAGTGTGGGTCGTGGTAGTATGGTCTGTACATAGAGCAGGTGCAGATTGCGTCTGATTTCCAAGTTAAGTAATATATTTGGAAAACAGCCAGAGCTAGAATCCATCCCATCATTCATTCATTCACTCACTCATTCATTCAAACCTGATCTTTAAGACCAGTGGCAAGATGGCCCCAGCAGCAGTTGCTATTCTTTTAGAAAACCCTTTGCAAAGAGAGGTACCCTTTCCCAACCACTCCAGCCTGATTCTCATGAGCCTGACCGGGGCCACACGCCCATCTGCAGCCTAACTACTGTAGTCAGGGGAGACAGACTAGTTCACATTCCTGAGGGCCAGGTATGGGGTCAACACCATTAAAGCCACACAGACTGCGAGTTAGAGGGTCCCCCGAAGGAAACTGAGCCACAGTTATGAGGAGAAGGGGAGGTAAAACGACAGGTGTCCACGCTCCTGTGGCCTCCACAGGTGATTCTGACACGCAGCCAGGTGAAGAGTTGTGGGTAGGAGGTGTGACCAGCATTCTGACATGGGGAGAGAAGGAGGAGTCTTCAGGGAGGACTGAAAATCAGGCCAGAGAGACGGGAGTAGATGGGGCAGCGGGTCTCAGGGGCTGGGATGGTAACAGTTTGGGGAAGTGAGAGGTCAAGGCTGCTGAAGCCACAGTGAGAGGAAGAGAAGTGGGGTTCCCTCCATAAAACTGGGCTTGGAGCAATTGGCAGGGTTTTAAGGTACAGAGAACGGGTGAGTGAAGGATGAACTCCCTGGCAGAGGGTCCAGCAAATATGTGGAAGCAAAAAACAAAGCAAAACAAAACAAAACAAACACCCCAGAAAATGCTTGAGGAACAGAACAGCTTAAATGCACAGGGACCATTTTCTTAGCTTTCCACTCTGGTACCCAGAATATCCATTTTTATCTGGGAGTGTAACCGTGACCACAGGTTGAAGTCAAACTCCTTGGGTTAGCATTGGAAGCCTTCTATCTCCTGGCTACAGACAAGAAACCCGATTTCCTAGGGACTTGTCCTGAGTCACGGGATTTCCGCCCTTCTCCCCGGAAGCCACAAAGCACCTTCTTGCGGCCTTTGCTCTGTTTTGTGGATTTTTCACTCTCTGCCTGTTGTGTCTGAGCATATCTTATCTTCCCCTCTGGACTTTGAGCTCCTGGAGAGGAGGGTCTTTTCAGTCCCGTGTCTCCAAGTTGCAGGCTCTGCTTCTGCAGAAAGAGGTTTCAAGATAAGCCCAGTTACCCTGTAACAGGGCCTGCGGTGGCCGGGCGATACTTAACGGGGAGGGAGCACCCCCAGGGTCAAAATGTCACTCAGTGCATGAAGAAGGGAGGACATTTGGGGATAGGGCCCCCCCAACTCAGGCTGAGGCCTGAATCCCACCACTGCTACCCCCAGCGGTCAGTTGTGGGGAAAAGAGGCTGTGATTCATCTTGGGGTTGACATTTCTTCCTGTTGCACAACTGGGAGCCCAGAGGTGCTGTATCTTAGCTGACTCCAGTGGCCATGAATTCCTAAAGAATGAAGCAGCTGTCCTTTATTGAGTGCCTACTGTATGCCAGGCACCCTGTTAAGTGCTTTACATTTATTACTTCAATAAGTTCTCCCGTTTTGTAAATGAGAAAACAGGCCCTGAGACGTTAGGTAACTCCAACATTGACAGAACTGTGATTGATACCCGGGTCTCTGACTCGAGTCCCCCTGGAAGTCCCCGGGGTTTGGACGTGTCGTTTCTGATGCTGGAGTCAGGTTAGCCTGGTACCCTCTTCCTTCCGCTCCCAACCACAGAGGATGCGCCAGCCCCAAGTCCTTGTAGGTTTCACTGCCTTAGCATTACCCGGGGCTTCTAAAATCCTGAAAGGGAAAAGAGCAGCTTGTGGAACAAGGAAGGATGAAACTAACCCCCCAGTTCCGTTCTTCCATTCCCACTACCTTTGAATCCCCAGGCATTGCACCTCTCAGTGCAGACATTCTCTGGCGCCCCCTGGTGGTCTTCAACACCATCACAGAGCAGGGAAACAGCCAATGCCCCACATGGAGGAAACGCTAGAGGCCGGCCTGACCCAGAACTCCTGGCTGCCAGAGGGGTGGGTCACAGCATCACTTTCTACCCCTATAGTCCACCATAGCGCTGACTGGCCCAGCAGGCAATGCTATAACACATTATTTATAAGGACTATATTACTCTTTCAAACGTGCCACACTATTAGGTGTGCCATGATGCTGTATGTATTATATATTAAGCTTGATCAGGGCAATACATAAAATGTGAAGGTGGCACACCCTGTTATTATAAAATGGAATCCAGCATTCCTGTCCCCCTGCCCCCATTTCACATCGGAGGAGCCAGCCTTTTATCTCCTGCCCCTAGTCCTGGGAAGCAGGCTGTCTGCATAAACTCATTCCCACCACCTCGTTTGCAGGAGTGACAAGAGGCCCAGGGAGATAAAGTCTCTTGGGCTACAAATGTTCCTTCAAGTGGGCGAGGTGACAAGAGCAGAGAGGAAGCCATGCCATGCCCTTCAGGCAGCTTTTCCCTCCGGGTATAGGAAATGCCGGCAGGAGGGGTGGGGATGGGAAGGACCCCCAGGATGGAGAGCCGGCGAGAATTGCTCACCTTTGAAGGCTGGGCTAGTGGGGGGCTGCTGGCCTGACAGCAGAGGGATGGAATGGGCCTCAGATCCATGGCAGGAAATAAGGGAGGGATCAAGACTGGCAGGGAGCAGGACCTGCTTTTCAGACACCCTGGGGTGAACTCTGCTGCTCAGTTTTCATTTTCCTCTGCCCTGTTACTGTGGGTCCTAAAGAGAGAAAAGGGCACCATTTCTGCTGCCCCCTGGAGGGCTAACTCGTCACCCCGAGGAAAGGTGTGGGTGGCGGAATGAGCCCCACCAAAGGCCCTGGGGAAGCTGCAGGCAGGACTCAGGAGGCACAGAGTCCAAGGTGGAGCCACCCGGGGAGTCAGGGAAGGGATGGGGGGGGGGGGGGGGGGGGGGGGGGGGGGGGGGTAGGCGCAGTGGCAGCCGAAGGGATTCCGATCGTCCTGCTCAGGACATGGAGATCCATCCAGATGCCTGACAATAACTCGGCAGGGCTCCCTGGAGGACCCCAGAGGCGGGCTCTACCAACTCGTCAGAAAGCGAAGTAGAGTGATGCCTGCCCCCAGGATTTCGGCGGAGGGCGAGGAGGGCCCTCGGTGTGAATCCGGAGAAAGGGAGAGAAGTGAAGCCCTAACGCCACTCCGCACCCCCTTCCTGCTTATAAATAACCCCGTGTCACTTCAAAGCAGACCGAGGCCGGGGGAGAGGCCGCTCCGGGGCCGGTGGCTAGGGGCAGCGGCCCCTCCGCACCACGCCCCCCACCCGGGCGAGTTTGAATAAATAAACAAATCCAAGCCCGCCGGCCCCGCAGGAGGTGGAGGAGGAGAGGAGAGGAGGAGGGAGGGGGCGGGAGAGATTAGTTTGGGAAGTAGCACGGATTGCTCATCCGATCCGTGCAGCCGCAGCCAGTGTGTCAAGTTACAGAGGCGCCGGAATCGGCCCCAGCGCTCCTCGCAGCGGCCGCGACCCACCTCTGCCCATGGGGCCCTCTGCGCGCGCCCCTTCGCTCCGGGACTGAAACTAGCTCGCCGCCGGGAGACGCGAGGCACCAAGAAGCAGGGATCGTGCAGAAGCAACTCGAGGGCTCTGCGGATACTTGCAGGGAAAGACGGGCGGAGAGGAGGAGTGCCGACCAGTTCCTCTAACGTTCCTGGACTTGGAACACTCGTCGAAGTAACTTTTTCTCACCTGGGCGTACCCCGATCGCCGCTGGTTGTGTTTTCTCGACTTTCCCCCTCCTGCTGCTAATTTTTCCATCCTCTTTGCCGGGAGCAAAGGAAAGGAACCTTTTCCAGGACACCAGCCCTTCACCCCCGTCCCGCAGCTTGGATCGAGCCTTTGGGCAGCGGCTCTCGCCTTTATTTATTCTATTTATTTATTTATTGGTTCCCAAGACGCGAGGGGATGGTAGCGGAG